AGCCAGCATGGCCGGCTGGGGAATTCTGGGAGTTGAAGTCCACTCATCTTAAAGTGGCCAAGTTTGGACAACACTGAGCTAGGGGAAAAACCCCTGCGTGGTGCCCCCCTTCCCTTGCTGCCCTAAGCACATCCTTCTTTTGCTTAGTGGTTGATCCACCACTTTGATTGCTTAGCTGTTGTGACCCTTAAAGGAACAGAAATGGAAAATGGTGAAAACCTCAGCACAGATTGGATAAGACCCAAGTTCCTTCATTTCAAACAATGGAAATCAACCTCTGTGCTTGAAAAAAGAAATGAATTTAAGTCGCTGAATTCCAGTTTTAGTTTGCAAAGTGATGATGATGATGATCAAAAGTTACCAGTCAGAGGAAGAAGAACAAGAGGGAATTTGCAAGGTTGGAGTTAAAAATTGTGGGAGAAACACCAGCAGCCATAATCAGCAGTTCACACCCGGCGAGACTCTAGGCTGAGGCTTAGTCAGACTCAGAATGCCTTCTGGGACTCCCGCCATTCATTTACCAGGAGCAGTGCTGAAGCTCAACTGCTTTCAAGCTTCTACCACGCAATAAATACAGAGGGAAAGTTTTGCTTCTTTGAAGAGCTTGTTGGTTTTATTAGATATTGTGGCCATCAAAACACATAGACCCAAAGTCTGTGTGCGTCTGTGTGGATGTGTGGGAAAAAATGGAACACTTTGAAATGCAAGAATGTGGATTCCACCCTAGATCCTACGTTAGAGATACTAAGTGACATTAGAAAGTAATTGGTTGAATGAAGAGAAACCTGTTACCCTCCCCACAGCCACCTTTATATTTAAAACTCTTTACATGGCAGTGATGATCTTTACTTTTCATCAGAACTAACTCAATCTAATGAGTAACAAATCTGAAGATAGAACATTTTGGATTCCGTTCCCCACACAGCCATTAAACATCTGGGGTGACTACCCCCGTCTCTCTCCGTTCAATAGGGCTGTAGTGACAAAATAACCCACTGTAATCAGGAGGTCTTTCAGGAAAAAAAAGTGCCAAATAAATGATTTTTTAAAATTAATTAAGCAGGACAAACAGTAACAATTCTTCCAGCGAGCAGAGAATCACATTTGTTAAACTATCTGATATGTTGCCTGAACATAAAAGAGCCGAACAAGATAGCTTTCTGCTTGTTTTTCAAGGTTCTTCTCTTGCTGTGTATGTGTGTGTGTGCACGCGCGCGCGTGTGTGTATGTTTGCATGCATAAGACTGAGGAGGGGCATCGGCTGTGGTTAGCCCCTCCTGGGCTGTTGATAACACATGGCAGGCTCTGTACGCCCCTCTAACAGGCAGACCTACAAACCTACATGTAGACTGGCACTTTTCCTGTAGAGATCTCTTCCACTCCCAATCAAAGGTAAGTGCAGCCAGAAAGAAGGGTAAGAAGTGGGGAAATATTGTGTACGAGGATGGGCTTCATTTTGTCTGGGGATTTGGGCCATGCTGGGTCTTTGATATTGCCACTTCTTCAGTAAGAAATCAACTTTCTTCCCCCCATACAGGCTCATATCTGTACCAGCTTGCTGGTATTTTAAGAAAGGCACCAGATTTAAGAGATGTGTTTGCACTTGGGGCATGCAGGAAAGCAAAGGCTGGGGTACGGGGAAGAGATGTTTAATGTTCAGGATCTTTGTTAAAGGTAGGAACTGGGAAGGTTTGGGGGTAGGAAATGGAGAATCGTGACAAGACGAGAAAAAGAACATTACAAAACTTTTTCTTTCTTTACTGGAAGTTCGCAATTTGAGAAAGACATCTGCTATAAAATCAAGCTATGCATATTTGAGCTTATAAAAACGTATTTAGAGCATTTACATTACATGCAAGCAAGGAGAAATTTCATGTTGTAAAAGGCAGCATTTCTATTGATGCAGACACTGGGTTTCTTTTCTCTTTAAGAAGGACAAGAATGTTTACCTTTGTGAAATATGCAGAGGCTGACTAGCTGTGGGTTGAGTTAAATGCCACTAATATAAGTTAGAACCCCCAATGGGTATCCTACGATGTTATGAATCTAAAGCAATCAGTCAGCATAACTGCTGGCTGATCGCATAACAATAGAAAGTATCTGCTTTTGTAAGAGCAACCATCCCCATCTGGTGACCTCTAGATGTATTGGACTACATCTCCCACGTTGATGATGGGTGTTGCAGTATAGCAGTTGTAGGGAAAGTAGAATTGTTCTCTGCTGAAAGGTTGGGGAGGAAGAATGCATTTGGTCAGGCAGAAGACATTGTCTGCAATTAGCTCTTGCTGATCATCCTTATTGATGGTGTCTGTTCTACATGGCTCATGGTATTTCTGTCTCCATAGGACGTGAGGGACTGTACAGAGCCCTTGGCCAGGCTTTTCCCACTAATGCTCTTGGATGAAGGGTGCCAGCACCTCCCTTGACTTCAGGAAATGAGGCTCCCCCAAACATTCCCACTTACTCTTCTCTTCCTCAGTTGCCTGGAATGTAACCCTTCCAGGAAGGGCAAGGATAATGGTGAAAAGGGAAAACTTTCTTTCCCTTGGGCTCAGTCTGGACAGTTTTCCACCCGTGACAAGCATCTGTGCAGTTGGCAACTCATCTCTGGAGAAGGAGAGACTGAGCTCCAGATCAGCTGTCATCCAGCAGAAGGAGAGGCACAGTGGTGTGTCTACCGGGGCCAGCCAGAGTTATGTGCTGCCTACAGTGCCAAAGGCCGTCAGTTCTGGAAGCAGATCCTGGGCAAGCTCCGCCGGAAGCGCCATCCCTGTCAGGACACCAGCCCTCTCAAATCCCGGCTTTGTAGCAGCAAGAAGGAGGCATCTGAAGCCCAGCTACACCTGGTACATACCACGCCAACCACAGACATCCTGGTGGCCACTGCAAGTGTCAGTCAAGGAAGAGCCAAGGGGAAAGGCCATGCCAAAAACCTGTCAGCATCACAGAGATCATCACAGGTATCCCGAGATATGATCATCACCAACCCAGCAAAGAATGGTGCCTTGAGGAAGCAGAAGAAAGGGGGGAAGAGGAAAGGAAACCCTAACTCTACAGCAGCCCCAACCCATCCCCCCCATAGGCAGCCTACAGCAGTTGTGGAAGGCACATTACAGCCCACAGAGCTCAATGCAGATGTGGTAGACACCTATTGTGAAGAGAAATGGCATTCCTTGTGTAACTTTTTTGTGAATTTCTGGAATGGCTGAACTTGCAGGATAAGAGGAAGGGGGAACGGAAGTGCACAGCAGAAGTCCTAGTTAGTGATAAATATGGAAGGCAGATTGTGTGGTTTGAAATAAAGGCAGAAACAAACAGGGGCAGGTGAAATGAAAAGGTTGAGTGGCAATTGAGTATGGTCAAAGATTTGTAATTTTGTGCAGTTCTAGGGCTTTATAAAATATATAATTTACGCATTCCTACTAATCCTGCAGCAGCTGATAATGAGGACACTAAGGGTGTGTGGAAGCTACTTTTGCATAGCATTTGTGCATTAACATAAAATACAGATCCTTCCTCCTCCTATGCTAGGCACGATCCATTTGTAATAAATTGCTCTGCTGCTTCAGATCATTTCTTTCTTCACAATAACCGAAATGCTAATCTGTAATTGTAACAGATTTTGTGGGATTATCAGTCATTTATAGACCTTTAGTTTCTATTTTAGAAATGTCTAAGAACTGTATAATTCATGGTGATGTAGATGCTACTGGCTGTAACAAGACGATGTTAATGGCAATAATAAATGAAGTTCTATTATAATAGCCTGCTATCATAATGTCATTGTGGAATTGTAATCTTTGTGTTCATGTTGGAACAATATCATCAAGGACACAGAGCTTTTTAATCTGATGGTGTTATGCTATTTATTTGATGAACATGTATACACAGAGGCTGAGCTACATATGTGGTGTTCCCAGATGGTTATCTAAATCTCAACTTGCTTAGTTTCATCAAGATATTTGTGCCCCATACCCTCAGACTATGGCTAGCTCAAGAGCTACGTACCATAAGGGAGGTGAGTGTGTCTATGTTGACATTTCCAGTTCTGGGTGATTGTGAAGATCTTCCTAGGCATAGGTGAAGTTTATTTTTAGAGCTTTCTGTTCTAATGAATCCAACTATTTTATGTGTTTGTTTACTTGTTTATTTATTTAATTTATCAAATTTGTATGCTATCTGACTCCCAACCACTCTGGACATTGGTACACACTTGAGGTAGTTTATGCAATAGCTTTGGTCAAATGCTTGAAAATTACCAGTCAGTGAGCTGAGAAAAAAAAATCACCATAAATTATTGCTTTCTCAATTTCACATCACTTGCCTTGTGGAGCCTTAAAAAGTTCGATATGCTTTCTTTCCTATTCTCTGGCAAATTAAATGTCCCCTAAATGCTTTTGAACTACAAAGACTGAATCAGAGGTTCTGGAACTTGGATTTGAAATCATGATTGCAACTTTATCTACATTCTGTTCTAATTTTTATTTGGGTTTGCACTAAACACTCTCAGAGTTTTTCCCGTTAGTACTACAGTACGATAAAACATCAATCCACACTGTAACCAAGTATATGGGATCTAATCACCTCTACTTTACTTATGCAATTTTCTTGCAATCATTACATGTTGCTTTTAAAATGCCTATACCCAACAGCATGTTCCAAGAATCTGATCTGCACTGAAATGCAGTGTAGTGTATGATGGATGTAAGTAATTCATATGGAACAGACTTTCCGGGCCTCTGTCATTTCACACTGCAAGTGAGGGACACACTTCAGATGCGGGGTTCCTCGTCCTTTTGAAAGGTGTTACCCTGCATTTTTCTTATCCTCGTTAATGGGTTTCTCTCCAGTAAGAAACAAAGAAGGAGCAGGGAAAAAAAATACAAGGGAAGGTTCCAAATAAAAGATTTTGTCTGGGATGGACTCCCACATGCATGCACACACAAAGAGCATGAAATTCCATGAATGAAGCCAGCCGCCAACTGCACTATAAATTAAAGCCTTGTTGGGCAGCTTCAGAAAGAGTCTGAAAAAAATCCCCTAAAGTTTGCACTTAGCAATTTCTGTTGCCTGAAGGAGTGCAGTCCAGGGTAACACTGAAATGTTGAGCAAACTACCTGGTGGAATGAAGCCACCATCTGCAATGCAGGATTAGGAGGGTGTGAAATGGAGACTATACCACTGCACAGTGCTTCTCTGGAGTGGCTGTACCAGGCCACCAAAGGAAGGCTAATAGTAACACAAATGTAAAAATCCAAAGCTTTCACAAGGAAGCCACAGTGCCCGTGAAATGTATCCAACAAAGTAAATGACTGCTGGAAGCTGTTGCTAGGTTACCCAGACCTCCACATGAATAAAGAAGGGGCCTTGGAAAGCCTGTTCGATGGTTGCAAGCTCCAGAGATAGCTGGTCACATGGTGCAGTTTAGACAGCAGCCCCCGCCACCCCCCAATCCTTGAGCCATCAGCTCCTTTGTTCTGGCGTACAAGGAACTCAATGGAAGTGATTGGTCCAGGCGCCACACTGGGATCTTAGACGTCAACATTGGAAAAATCAAGAAAGTGGCTATGAAGCAGCTTGTTGTGATGCTGAGAGACACAGCTTCATCAAAATGGAAGGCATTCTCCAAGCAGAAACTATTTCCTTGGTCTACAGCCATGGAGTTCTCCTGTGAGTTGTGAGAACTTTTTACGTTTCTTCTTGGTCTTCTCTTTAGGAAGACGTTTTAAAAAATTTCTGGATCCTAAGTGGCATTTCATCTCCACATGTGACTACTTGCTTCCCCTTTTCATCTTTTGTTGGACTTGTAGCCTGCCTTTCCTCCAAAACTCAAGATGGGTCTTGATATAGGTCTTGTCCAATTTTTCCACACCACAACAACCCTGCGAAGCCAGTGAGCTGAGGGAGAGATTGCCTCAAAGACATCAATGAACCTGGGTCTCCCAGTCCTAAATCAACACCTTAACCATTAAACCAAATTGTCTGTTTCTGGAATAATGTCCAATGTTATATATTATTTTGTCCTATAATCCAAATGTGCATAGACAAAAAGAGGACTGTTCTGATAGATTGAGACTTCTTAGCTTTTTTATTTTTAAATCTTCATTTCTGCATGCACAAGTAGGCTTGCCCTTACTAGATTTTTTTTAAAAAAAACCCAAAACAATCAACACAACTACTTCCTCCCCCCCCCCAAACGTAGCAATGGCAACATAAAATATGTGTGATCTTTCAAACATCTTGATTTCTCTGTAAACGCAATCATCACTACGTTATATCATTGCTCTGGGGCCAGAGGATGTAGCTGGGCAGTTTGCAGGCCACGTGTAGTTCTCTGAAGCCACCTTTTGTGCTATTGGTTCCTCTGGACTTGTAGAATTCAGAACTGCAGAATTCAAGGCCAAAAGTGGCAAAGATTAAGCAGCACACTTTCCCAGCAATTTCTGGCAGGAAACAAAGGAAGCGTGATAGGCTTTTGGATAGGGTTAGTACTCTTGACATTTACTACTGCTAGCAATGGAGAAATCGCCCCCACGTACCTGCCACCGTTCGTTTGTAGGTGATCATCATTCTGCAGCAGCCCCCACATGTGGAAAAGAACGGAAAGAAAGTTTGTTTTTTGTTTGTACCGGCTTTAAAACCATTGGGTGGAAAACACAATTGCAACGGATGCCTTGGAAATGGAAGGGTCTCTACTGCAATGAGTTATACACGGCGCTGCCCTTAAATACTACCTGGAGATTGCAACTGGTCCAGAATGTATTGTCTTGTGTGTTTATTGGTACTTGCTCCTGGGAGCTTATAGCAATGATTTTGCAGGCCCTGCGTTGGTTGCTGATTAATTTCTGGATACAATTTAAGGTGGTGATATTGATCTCTAAAGCCCTTTAGTGCTTCATCCATGGATGCCTTGTCCATGGACTGTCTGCTTCAACCAGTATCAGCCTCCTGACAGAGATCAGGGCAGTCTCTCCTTGTCGGTTTTCCTGAGCCTACACCAGATGCCACCTTGATTTCCATTTCTTGTTTGATTCTTGGTTTCTTGTTGATTTTTGTGTCCTGTGGGGGCTGACGTGGTCATTGTTATAATGGGTTTCATTGCTTTTAACCTCAACGTGGGTGTTTTAACTTTTGTTTCTCTAGCCTGTAAGCCACCAAGAGTCACCCAAGGTGGGGTAGAAGTAGAATAAATCAATAAAAAGGAAATAGGAATGTTACCCATAAAGCAGCCAATAAAGACAGTAAAAACACAAACCGCAGTTCTGTGTTTTTGCTTGTTTTTACTGTCCTTTGCTATCTGTGAGCACACACAGGTGGAATTACTTATCAATGGTTCTTGAACATTTGATAAAGGTATTTTTTTTAAAGTAAAAAAAAAAAACAACCTTTCATGCTCACCAATTTCCCGACGGAAGCTGTTATAAAAGGTGCGCCTACCCCTTTCCTCTTGTAAGGTTCTCTAGCCCAGAATCTATAAATTCAAATGAGACTCTAGACCGAGGTTTTTCCAAAGG